GGTCCAGGCAACAGAAGGCTCTTTGTGCTCCATGGTCCTTCAGCCAATGGCTCAGAGAGAGCAGAGCTTGTCTAACTCTGAGTCCTGCTCTTTTGGTCCTCTTCCTTTCCTTGCCTGGTTTGCTCCTCCAGACTGTGTCCCACGCAAGAAATTGTCACTTGCCTAAGGAGGGTACTTCAGGAAGGAAGGCAAAGATGGGCCTGTTCTGAGCTGTGTGGTGCAAGAGGGGAGTCAGGGAGACTGGGTGTTTAGTCTGAGGCCACACAGGTTCTCACTACACATCTTGGCCCCAGTCTTGAACACAGGAGTCTCTTTCCTACCATGTAGGGCTGAGAACCCTGGGCCAGATAGTGTCCCTGTTGCATAGCAGTGGGAAACGAGGCACCATCTGCTCCTGGAAGTTTACCCTAGACCCTTTCCTCTGGGGAAGGACTCTTCTTGCTGAGTGTGTCGCTGGGCTGTGGGGACCAGCCTGTTCCCTGGGACATAACAGGTTGTTAGCCAAGGTCCATCACAGAGCAGAAGGAGGATGTTGGTATGGTTTGTATCTGAAATGTCCTCCATGGTCTCCAGTGTTCAGAGGCAGGGATTTTGGAAGGTGTCTGGATCATGGGTAACTACACTCATTAGTGAATTAATCCACCACTAGGAGATGGGGCCTGGTTGGGATTTCCCTGGGGCATGACCTGCCTTGTCCATGGCCCCTCCCTTCTTCCTATCTGCCTGCTTCACAGTGAGGCTCCCATCTGGGAAAATGCTCAGACTCACCCACAGGCTCTCAGGACTGTGCCTCATGCTTCTCTTTCTGTTTGGAGACCAAATGCTGTGGAGCTGTTATGTTGCCTGCATCTCATGTGCCCAGAATTGCAATTCATTTCCTTGACAGCAGCAGAGCTCATTGGGCATCTACTCCTCAGAGGTGGTGAGAAGTTAAGGCACCAAGGCTCATGGCAGCAGCTAGGAAACCAGGTGACTTTCTGTGTCCTTTGGTGGAGATAACAAGGGAACTGTCTGTCTCTCCTTTTCTCCTTGTTTGTATCTTGCTCCAGCACCTGGACAGTGATGATTCCTGGACAGCAGGGATTTCAGGCAGGCAGATCAGGGATGCTGCAGGTCCAGGGCAAGGAACCCACTAAGCAGTGACCCATAGATCACTATTCAATGAGACCTTCTTCACTGTAATAGCCAGAGAGGCACAGACAGGAGGACAGTAGTGGAGGCTTCACATTGCACTAAACCTAGCAGTCTGGATAAGATAAAAGGGGCAGAAAGAGGCTTGTTTCTCTCATCTGTTGTTGTTTTTGCTGTCTTCTGGCCCCACAAACTGTTGCCCCTCTGCTATGTGCCACCCTGTCTCAGAACCAGCCAATTATGCATTGAAACCTCTACAAACTGCAAGCCAAGTAAACACTTCCTTCTTTAAATTGGGTGTCAGATATTTTGTCTCAGCAATAAAAGAGAAGTAACTGAGACTGGATGTAAGAAAGTTCATGCACAGGATTCAGCCTTTCAGACTGATTGGCTTTCCTCACTTCATGATGGGACTTTAAGTTTTCTCCAAGTCGGCCCAGGACTTGGAAGTTCATTTCCTTTTGCTCTGAACAACGCTCCACTGTCTGGATGTGCCCAGTACCCCACAGCCCTGACTGAAGGACACACTGGCTGCTGGCACGTTGTCGCCAATTTGGATGACTGTGTAGTAGGAATCAAAGTGGATGTAACTCTACGGGTCTTTTCAGAAAATGTCAAGAGCTGAATTGATGGACCTTAGGGTGAGTGTTTGCTTAGCTGTTTAGAATCCACCAAACTCTCTTCCCCAAGGCTGAAGCAGGAGGATCCTTGCAATTTCGAGATCAGCATGGGCTACAAAGTGAGCTCAAGGCCAGCTTGAACTGCATAGCAAGACCCTGTCTCAAAAAGACCAAAAAAAAAAACCTCTCTTCCCCAGAGGCTTCTCCCTTCCCTTCCCCAGCACTGATGAGTTCCTGCTGCTCCGCATCCTCTCTAGCACTGAGGGTGTCAGCATCTGGACTCCAGCCATGCTAGCAGAGGTGATGTCTCACATTACACATCCCGGTTGTTCACCTTTTGTGTCCTGTTGACAGTAGGAAGGGACCCATTCTCAGGTACTCACCTCCACCTAGAGGTCTTTTTTGCTTAAGATCTGTGCCCCATTGTTTGAGTTTATTTCCGTCATGTGCAGTTTGAAGCTTTCTTTGTTTTGAGCAAAGCTTTCTTTGTTTTGGCAGTTGTGCATTTTGCAAACATTCCCCCTTCTGTGTGTGATCTAATAACTCTCTTCACCCTGTGTTCTGCAAAGAGGTTCCCCATTTGATTGAGGCCCAGCTCATGGGTTCTGGTTTTCCTGGGCCAGGCTTTTGAGGCTGCATCTAAGACATCTGCACCATGCCTCAGCTTATCCAGGTGTCTTCCTGTTGTCTCCTAGGAGCTACGGAGTTCTGCATGGCACGTTGGGCCAGTGCCTGATCCTGAGTTAGATGTGTGAAGGGAGTCAGGTCTAGGTTTGGATTCCCTTTCCACATCAACTGTACCAGCCCCGTGTGTGGAGAGGCTGCTCCTCTCGTGGAATGGCCTCTGCTCCTCTGCACAGACCTATCGAACATGCTGTGTGGATCACAGCTTTATTTCATCCACCCCCACCTGTATGCCTCACTGCCCTTCTTCTTACTGCATTAGCTACAACCCCCAGTGTGATCTTGCATCACACGAATGGAGGGGACATTCCCGCCTTGTGTCTGTTCTTAGAGGGAAGCTTCTAAATCACCCTCGATGAGTGTGATGTGCCTGTGAGTTTCTGAGATATTCTTCATCAAAGACATCTTTACCCAGGTCCCTCTCTGTAATGTGCTGGGAGTTTTTGTCATGGAGGGTGTTGTTCTTTTTCAGGTGCTCCAGCTCTGTCTATGGATATGACCATGTGAGTTTTCCTTCTTGTGTTGCTCATGTGATGGTTCATATTGATTTTCAAACCCTGAACTAGCTTTTCTCAGCTGTGAGAAATTCCACCCGGTTTACATGGACATGTCATTGGTTTTGCTGCCTTTTTTTTTTTTTTTTTTTTTGGTTTTGGTTTTTCTCCGGTACCGGGAACCGAACTCACGACCTTGCGCTTGCGAGGCAGGCGCTTTTGCCGCTGAGCTAAATCCCCAGCTCCTTTGCTGCCTTTTAAAATGAAGAATTCTAGCACATGCGACAAACGTGTCATTCTATGAGAGGGGCTCACCAGATTTTGTTCATTCTCAGTAAAATGTCCGCATACAACAGATGTGACCAGGCTGAGGCATCCGAATATGAAATAGTTCTCATGCAGATGCAGCCACAAGCCCATGTGTGCCTAAAGGACTCAGGTCAACAACACAGGCTCTGTAGAAATGAAGCACAGAGGAAGCCCATGCTCCTCAGCTCTTGGTTTTGCCAGACCAAGACTGGAAACAGGGTCACAGGTGACCACACACAAACCCACACGGACCAGAAAGCTCTCATCGTCCTTGCCCAAGTGCCAGGCTTTCCTATGCTGCTCACAGGCCACAGACAGTGTGATGTCAGCTGCTCTTACAGGCTCTATGGCGTTCAGCATGGTAGAGGTGCATGAAGTCCTCTTGACCTCACCAGCTGCCTTAGCTTCTGATCAGACGTCCAGCCTGGCCTCATGCTGTGCAGTCAGGGGCTGACTTCTCTCTGCTGTGAAATCTCAGATGTCTCTCGTGCTGACCCAGCACCATTTCATCTACATTGGGAATCTGTTCTGCAGTGTGGGTACCTGCTGGGTACCAGGTAAGGGTCCAGAGACCTGGAAAAGCCAACCACTATCACCCTAGAGTCACTGTTCTGGGTTACTCTGAGTCAGAGAGGGTGGGTTTAGAGGAGAAAGGATCCAGCTCTCGGTCCCTAGTCCTTGCTCTCCTTCCAGTGGAGCCCCTGTGCATCCCTGATATGAAGACTTTTCACCAGTCCCCAAATTCCTTCCCTGAAGCTGGGCCTCAACCACCACCACACAGGGTCATGGGTGCTAGAAATTGGGACAGTCTTCTTGGGCATCTGCTTTGCAAGTCACAAGTGTTCATATTTGAAAACCACACACACACACACACACACACACACACACACACACTCAGTATAAAGCCCCTCATTAAGAGTCATCCTGTATCATGAAATGACATTTGGTGTAAAGGTTAAGTAGACATTTTAACCTTTATTTGTAAAGGTTAAAAGTACCTCACCTGTACTTTTTACTTTTCTAATATGTCTACCAGAAGTTTGAGGCCACACATGGTTGGTGTCCCAGCTCTGTGGGGGCCATGCCAGGTGTCCCTTCCAGGCTCAGCCACCTGTGCCTGTTCTGTCCTGGAACACCTGGCTGGTAGTAGTTCTTAGGAGATCTGTTGATTGACTGACAGATCACAAGTCCTTAAGGAGAACCCCTGTCCTTTCCCTAGTAGAGGGGAGTGACTCATACTTGGCAGAGAAGTTCCTCAGGACAGGACAAGGCCTGGGCTTCCCAGCACCTCTGGAGTCCCCTTCCTCCTCCCAGGAGTCACGCCCTTGACCTCAAAGGCCCCTGACCTCAGAGCCCCTGGGAAGCCAAGAGTGCTCTGGCCCCTTTCCTGTGGAAGTAGAGTTCTGCATCACAGGATTTAGTTCCTAGAGAGTTGTAGAGAACAGAGAACAAAGCCTCGAGCAGCTGAGGAGGGGGACATTTCAGGAGGTCAGAGGAGCAGGAGTGGGGGAGGGCACTGGAGGATAAGGAGGGAGGAAGGAGAAAACCTCCAGCCTGGAGCAGAGAGGGACATAGTGGCCAACGTTGGAGAAACCAGCAGAGGGGAGGGGCCAGCAGGAAAGGAGGGGCTGGGTTTCGAGCTGGACAGGTGGGAGGGAAGGGACTGGGGCCTCAGAGGATAAAGTAGGGCAGCCCAGGGCAGCACTGTGGCCTCTGGATTGCTGCCCTCTGCATCCTATAGCTCCAACTTTGTGTCCTGCAGACATGGCCTCATCGCTGCGTGTCCCTCTGCTGCTCCTGGCTGCAGTGGTCTTGGACCTGGCCATGACCCCCATGGCATTGGAGTTCCATCAGAAGAGCCCTCACCTACCTGGAGGCCTGCAAGATGTGGACATTAATGATAAAGGTGTGCAGCAAGCAGTGGACTTTGCCCTCCGTGAGTACAACAATGACAACAAAGACCTGAACCTCAGCCGCTTGGTGCAGGTGGTGCGTGCCCGTGAGCAGGTGCGTGGTCACCAGGGCTGAGGCGGGCTACCCAGGAAATGCTGTCCTTCTGCACGCCCTGCGGCTCCCCTTCCTCTGCTCCCTACCCCTGTCCTCACTGGGGCTGTATTGTCTACTCTACAGCCCTGACCTGGTTGAGCGAGCCCAACCAGGATGCACACCCCTGTGCCTCTCACCCAAGCCTCATCCCTGGTGTTGTTCTGTCCCTGCAGCCTGTCCTGAGTGTGTCTCTCAGTCAGTGCAAGGGAAGCCTGGGCTGGGTCCTGGTGGGCATAATGGATGAGACTTGTCCTTCGACCTCATTCTTACACCAGCGGGCAGAGGGACCAGGTGCCAGACAAGGATCAGGGGTTCCCTGGTTAATGCTGACCATCTCCTGGCCTAGGATCTGGAGAACTGGGAACCAAATAACCCCATAGCAGGGACAGGGATCCTGCACCTGTTCCCTTCTCTGCAGACCTCCAAGGCCTGTGCTTGAGCTTCTGGTTCTGCCACTACCTCAGGTGTGCAGAGCAGGCAAAGCAGGAGCAGAGGCCATCCTGGATCCTGCACCTGTCCCTCTTGTGGTCACCCTTGGTCACGAGGCTCTGCTCTTTGCTCCCCATAAAGCATGAGGCTGTGTATGGATTTGGGTGGATGCTTCCATGACATCACACACTGAATCCCCAAGGACAGTAGAAGAGTCCAGGGCATCTCTCCTGGGAGCCTCAAAGGTCCCTGTGGGCAGCAGGGAGCCCCCTGCTTGTGAGCCGGGAAGAGGAGTCCTGTGTGTAGGAGATCAGGTCCCTGAGGGATCAGCTGTGCTTAGTCCTCAGGCCTCAGCTCTCCTGCACCAGCATCCAGGGCGTCCTGTTGGTCACAGAGCCTGCTGGGGTGGACCCCCCCTGCCTCCTGGACAGGGAGTGCTGGCTCAGTGCCTGGGCTGCTCCCCAAGCTGGCCTCCCTCCCAAGGCCCAGATCAGAGGGTGCAGCCCAGGCTCCTACCTGCCCGTTCCGTTTCTGTCTTGCTCTTGTGCACAAGACACCTCCTTGAAGCTCCTTGGAAGGGAACAAGTTGAATGCAGGGCAGGGCCATCCCACAAGTATATCTGGCACAGAGTGGGCTGGGATGGGTTTGGCCTGAGCCCTGGTAAACACAGTGAGTCCCGCACAGCCAGTATCTGCAGCAGTGAGGTGGACGGAGTGCTGAGAGAGTCCTGCTCTTCTTCCCTAGGTGGTGGGCGGCATGAACTACTACTTGGACTTGGAGATCGGCAGAACCACATGTGCCAAGGAGCAGTCCACCCAGGAGGAGTGTTCCCTCAGTGAGGAGCCGGTATGAGCTTGAAGTGGGCAGGGGCAACACAAGTACTGGGGCAGTGTGTGTATGTGTGTGTGTGTGTGTGTGTGTGTGTAGCAGAGCAGGGCTGTGCACACAGTTGATTGGGGTGCTGAGTGGGATCCTAGGAAGTGGGGTGCTGCAAGGCAGCCCCTGAATACGGGGTGTGCTAGCTGGACAGGAGGGGCAGCAGCAGGGTTGGTGAGGAGGGAGAGGGCTCTGGGAGTCCCCGCCTCGTCCCTGCTAGATCCAGGCTGAGCAGGTCAGGCCTGAGGAGGCCAAGACCCTGTGGTGCCCTCAGCCTCAGCCCCTCCTGACAGCCAGATCCTGGGAGGTGACACTCTGCGCAGAGTCCCTGTCTCCCTGCCCACTCCAGCTCTCTCGGGGTCCCCAGGCCTGATTCTCCCCTGGGTGCCTCTCCGTGCTGCCCTGGGCTGAGGTGGAGGCACTAGAGCGATGAGCACTTGCCCTACCTGTGCCCCATGGGCTCCTAGCCCTGTGTAGCTGCTCCCTGCAGGCCGTGGGGGATGAAGACCTGCGATCCCTGAGCTGGGGACTGCACCATGTGGGGACTTCCCCTCCACCACTTCTCCTCCTCTCTTATGTTCATGGCCAGGCGTCCTCCCTCTCTCCTGAAGTCTCACTCACTGTCTCTCTCTCTTCCTTTGGCAGGCCCAGCTCTGCTCCTTTGTGGTCCACTCCAGGGCCTGGGAGGACTACATGGCTGTGATAAGCACTACCTGTCACAGTGCCTGAGGTTCTGCTTTGATCAGGACACAGCGACCACCCCTTACCCGTGTCCCCTGCAGTGTCTCAAACCATGTGATGGAGCCCAGCCCTGGTGCAGTCTGCTTGGTGCCTAAGCGCGCAGGCTCCAATACAGCAGAAGCTTCAAGGTAACGTGGACACCCTAGGCCTGTCCCCTCCTCCTTTCTCCTGCGCTTCTCAACTACACCTCTGGGGGCGCACACAGCCGCCCCTTCCTTGTTCAATAAAAACCTGCAGCAGCTCCCTTGTGGGCATGTTTTTGAGAGCAGAGGAAGTGTTGGGGAGCTGTCCCCACAGCTTGATGCTATCTGACTGTCACACAGTCTTCCTGGGCACTGTCACACACCCAAGGTGGGGCTGAGTCATAGTCACTGGTTCCCAAACTCTATCTGGGTTCCACCTTCCTGTCCACTCCCTCCAGCTCTCTAAGGTCCTGGCTGTGCTCTAGCAACCAGGCTTACAGAAGGTGACCCAGTCAGCCAGTCAATGTACCTTCTCTATCTCAGGCTCAGTGACCACCTGAGCATGGCCCCTGGCTCAGGTCTGGCCGTGGTGCTCCGTGGTTCATGGTGGGGTTTTATTTGACTGCAGGCTGAGAGTCCCTTGTGCAGAGTGCTTGGGACCAGAGTGCTTCAGGTCTCAGAGATCTGTGGGATTGTGGGAAATCTTTACACATGTTATGAGATTACTTGGGGATGAGGCCCATGCCTGAGAATCCTGTACACAAGGCCTAAAGCTAAAGATTATAGGAAGAAATATTTCATTGGAATGTCAGAGGGAGAACAGGAAAGGATCCAGTTTAGGTGGCTGGAGGGGTCACCCTGATAGAGGGGTTCAGACAGACCCTCCACACAGGTGGGAGGCTGCTGTTAAGGACAGACTAGTGGACTGGGTCTGGGTGCTCAGTGTCTCACCACCTCGGTCATAGTTTTGGGATCTTGATGGCTGAGGGATAGTTTCCTTTCCAGACAATACTCTGCCACCCTGAGGTCTCTGTCACCTGGGGGTTCCACTCTCCCTAGCATTTGGGTGATCACAGATTCAGGACAGTGGCTGCAGGCTTTTAGGAGGAGCTAAATATCCTTGTAAACCTCTCACCTTGGGTCCTGTCTTGGAGAGAGTAAGACCTTCTGAATTCAGGGCTGACCAGCCCTGTCCAGCCAGATCCTAAATGACCACGAGGCCCCACACAGAGCTGAGAAGGGATCTAACCCAGGACTTACAGTGACAAGGACAGAAATGGTGGTCAAGCAGTTTTCTGATGTTAGTTGCCTATTGGGCATCTGTAGCCCAAATGAAGAGCCATGGTTTCTGGCAGAAGTGGCGATTAAGTCCCTGCCTGTCCCAGACTAAAACACAGGGCATGCTGGTAATGATCAGGTAGTAAGTGCCTTAGCCTGGGTCCTCTGTTGCTGGACACCCACAAGGTCAGTTGCACCAGTCTCCATGTGAGCAGCAGAGCTCCTCCTACTGTCATTCTCCTTGGATACTTGGAGTCCATGTCAGATCCCATCTACCTCACAGAGCATGGCCTGTCTCCCCAAAGTTCTCTTCATGTTGTTGTCTAGAACTTATAACCCTGAGAAATGTGGACAGATCACAATTGCAAATCTTACACAGAAAATCCAAAACAAAGATACCAAGAGCAAAACAGGATCATTGTATAAGAGACAGAACTGATAATTTAGTCTTGTCAGAATTAGGGTCCTTTTAAGTAGAATGCAGTTGCTTATAAATGTGCCTTTTAGGTCACTAATGCCACCGAATTTAGCCGTATCTAATCATGGTATCACAATTAGGAACACAGCTGAAATAATGTCTATCATTAAGGCAATGTTGGTTCTGTGGGGAAAACCAGTACATCAAGGAATATTCCGCATCCCTATACTTCAGAAGGCTTGTGCACTTCAGGAGTAACACGCATTTAACATGCAGATGAGTCAGCCATAATTAGCAGTACCAGTACTAGAAGTTTTTACATATCAATTTATCTTTTCACATTTGAGGTAAAATTTAGAATCTGTGGTCAGTAGTATAGCTATAATCATGTGATATTGTACTTAAGAGATGTACAAAGTTTAACAGTAATGATACAAAGCAATTAGAGAGTAGCTTTTGATCTCTTACAACATTTGGAAACAGTAGTGTTACCCGCAAGTAAGCTTCTTACCTGATGTACACTTGCATCTCATTTGTGCAATAAATTATTGAGTTACAGTCCATACATGTAGACCATAGTTAAAATGGTAGTGTTGTCCAAGTGGCAGTTTCGCCACCTGAATGGTAATGAATAGCATCAGAAATGTTAGTTTCTACTGACCATGTTGTAAGTGTCAGGTCCAGATGCTGTGTGTGCTGTATGAGACAGCACTTACTGGCTACTCTGCACACATCACACTCATGCATCATTAGTCTCACAACCTATGCACACTCTCACAGCATGACTAATCCTTGCATTATATATCTTTAGTCTCAGACATAAGAACTGCCAACATAGTATAATAACTTAAAGTAACAGAAGTTAATTTAAGGAGAGTTATAAACTGATCATTAAGTAATCTAAGACTGTGTTGTGACTCTTTCCTCAGTACTCAAAGCCTAATAGCAGAAGAGAGAAGTAATTGCCTTCATAAAACACAACTCTTATTTGAAGGGTAATTTCTGTCAATTGGTACGAAGAGTGGATCAACCTTTAGAAAACACTGTTTTACACATGGAATTTGCGCATCAATGTTACAAAGTTTATTTTCTGAGAACTTCTATAACTATGTTTTGAAAGCATCATGAACTCTACTACACTTTGAAATTTTCTCTCCCAAGTTTCACCCTTCACAAACTTTCTGCAACTTGCATTACATTTCTGATCTTGTATTTATCTGTCTATCTTCATTCTGAAAAATCTTTTCTTAACTAAGACATTCTTTTACATATATCTTTCTTTGCATCTCTTTTCTACTTACTGGTTTCTTTAGAAATTTCTCTTTCTTTTAATTTACCTCTAAGACAAATCACAAAATGTCTCAATTGGGACAAATTACTCTTTTTCCTCTCAATAAGATAAAACATATTCTTTTAGGATACAAACGTACCTCCACTGACACCCAGCAAATGGCTTTAATTGAAAAGGAGATGGTAACAAATTGGATCCCCAATTTGGCAGCTGGTGGAGTGGGAAAAGGTGCATGCTTTGGAAAACAGCCTGGGGAATCCTCAACATGGTAAATGGAGAATTGCCACCCAATCCAGCCATGCTTCCCATCCCAGCTACATGAACCCACTGTCCCACTGAAAACTTCACTTCTACATGAATGCTCATAGCTGGAGAACTCAAAACAACCAAAATAGGAAAAGAAACAACCAAAATACCCATTTACTGGGGATTGAATAAACAATACAATATTGATATTACTTAGCAACTCTTTAAAGTTGACACACCAGTGTAGGCTTACGGTGAGTGAATCTCAAAAATCTGCCACAGGGAGGAAATCCGCTACAGAACAGTACACAGTCTCTGATCTCATTCACACAAAACAGCCAGGAAGGCAAATTTACAGGGTCAGGTGGTGGAAGAACAGTTACCATGCTGGGGCAGTGGGGTGAGGAGTGATTCCTGGTGAGTAAGTTGTTTCTTTGGGCCATGAAAAATAATCTAAAATTAGACTATGGAGTCACTTGCAGGATATTGTGAATATGTTCAGAACCCCTGCATTGTAAATTTTAAACTGGAGCTTTGCATAACATAGATGTTCTCCAAAAATTGTCTAAAATCTTCACTGAAACTATAGTGTTCATCAGGCAAGTTTTTACCCCTCTTCTCTTTTCCATCCCTAATAATTTCCCACCATGTTGTCCTAACAAGCCTCAATAAAATTACAAAACAGCAACTTAGTTGTAATTACCATCAGATGTTTAGTTGCCCCAAATTTGACCAGAAATTTTCACCCAGTCACTGCTATCTTATTCTCAGCAATACTGAAGTGTATGAGGAACTCCCATTGCAAGTTGACCTCTCGTGCCTGCATTAGGTGTGTCACAGGAAGTCATAGCAAAGCGAGGTTGCCTCTCCCATGGTCCTTTCTTCTGCCCCCAGCCACTGTCTTCCCTCTCCACCATGAGAGGAAGCAGCTGGAGGTGCTTGCTAGATATATCCCACCATACTATTCAAATTCCAGCCTCTGGAACCATACATGAAATGAAACTCCTTTGTTTATAATTTCCAAGGCTCAGGTGTCCTGTTCCAGAAAGACAGAGTAGATAAAGACAGCATTCTCAGCATTCCTGGCTCCTACTGCTGTGTGCTACTCCTTGTCCTGCAGGTGTAAGACACAGAGAATCAGAGACAACAGGGCTGAATAGAGGAGGAGCATTATTCAGAGCTACTCAGAGAAATTCAACTAAAACACAAGTCATTGGAAAAAAGGAGATGAGTATACACCCTGAAACTAATATCAATCCCAACATAAATGACTAATAGATCAAGCAAAACATAAATAAAGGACTTAAGACAATGGCCAGCCAGTCCACACAGTTGCCAGTGGATTGCTGGATCAGGCTGACTGCTTGCCATACTTGGAATCTTAAAAGAATTTTTAAAAAAGGATATACTAAAATAATGTGGTTAAACCAAGCCACACATCACCCCTTGAGCTATAAGTTCCCCTGCCTCTTCTGCCTTCCTCCAAACAGAAGACACTACAGTCCAACAGTAAATTCTGCTGACACAAACTGTTCCCTTCCTGATGATTGGCCAGTTTTCCACATTTTAGGTTTTTCTTTCCTCTTTTTTTTTTCAGTTCCTTTTCTCTTTTCTTTTCTTCCCATTCCTTGTGTGCACCAGATCACTAACTGGAACTGCCAGGAACAAGATTAAAGACCACGGGGGTGCTTAGTAAATACAATAGCTAACCCTTCCCACATGACCTGTGGCTAGAGAGGCATGGAGAATTGAACAGATTTGCACCTTGAGACTGTGCAGCCCAGGGCTGTCCTCATGCTTCTGGGGACAGGAACAGATAGGCACCTCACAGCACACCTTAATCTCACCTGAGGGAGTTGCAGACTACAGCAGAGGTAGCTGATGGTGGCAGCAGAAGTTGTAAAGCAATGAGTGGGAAGTTAGCACCCCACATTGGGAGAGGAGTAAGAAATGAGACTGAGCAGCCTTGGACTGCAATAGCAAGAGCAGAGGACCAGAGCGTATCGCAGTACCCCACCCCACCCTGCAACAAAGGACCTTGGAAGA